GCACACTGATATTCTATTACTTCTTTTGTTTTTCCACTCTTGTAATCCTCTAATTTTTCACCGACACATATTATAGGATGCAAACCTGCTTCTAATGCCATTTCTGCTTTGAGCTTGATTTCATTATCTGTTTCATAGCCTCTTTCCGAATGCCCAAGAATTACATACGTACATCCTAACTCTTTAAGCATTTCTGCACTGACTTCACCCGTATAAGAACCTGATTTTTGGTGATAACAGTTCTGCGCTCCTATACTAATATTACTTTTTAGTTCTATTCTGTCCGGAAATGATGTAAAAGGCGGACAGATAATTAACTGCGAAGAAATTTTATCACTCTTTTTATTGAGCTTACCTATAAAATCCACAAATGAAGACCGTGTCCCATTCATCTTCCAATTTGCTATGATTAAAAAAGACATTATTTTACTTAGACTATTAGTCCTTACTATACAAAAAAAACTTGTCCTTGAAAATGCTATATCTTTACAGATAAAATGATCCCTTTTTCTTAAACTCCCCTCAACTTATCTATCTGTAACATGAACACTCCCCTCTTTCCATTGCTTGCACTTCATTTATTTTAGTACTAGGGTAAAATGCTTTATGTATCATGCCTTTTTCCGCCTCCTCTAAAAGCTTCTTTGTACTACGACATTTAGCTAAGTGTCTTGGCATTCTACCATGCTTATCCGGCAATAGAGGATTTGCACCTTCTTCTATTAAAGCATATACTACATATATATGATCATTTTTAGCAGCTTGATGTAGAGGAGTCCTTTTTAAAACACCTCCTACTGCATTAACATTTGCACCGTTTTCTAATAGATCCTTTACTAAACACACACTACCACTTTTAGCTGCCCAATGTAAAGAAGTTGCCCCATATTCATCCACCATATTAACATTTATACCTTCTTTCAATAGAGTCTTTGCTTCTTTTGTCTGACCATTTCTAACAGCTCGGTGTAGTAGCTGTCCTTTCTCTGCCTCCTCTAAAAGCTTCCTGACACTAGAATCTTTAGCTAAGTCTTTTAAAACTCCACCATGCTCATCCCTCAATAAAGGATTTGCACCTTTTTCTAAGAGAACTTTTACTACTTCTACATAATTAAGCAAAGTAGCCCAATGTAAAGGAGTTTTTTTACATTTATCTACAGAATTAACCTTTGCACCTTTGTTTAATAGAGCCTTTACTATCTCTACACGACCAAATAAAGCTGCCCAATGCAAAGGGGTTGTTCCATGTTTATTATCCTTCACATTAACCCTTGCTCCTTTTTTTAATAAAGCCTTTACCACACCCATATGACCACCTTCAGCAGCATGATGTAAAGGAGTGTCTCCATCTTTATTTGCAGCATCAATCATCTTTGTACTTTTTTCTAATAAAGCGTTCACCACACCTGTATGACCACCTTTAGCAGCATTATGTAAAGGAGTTATTTTATATTTATTTACTGCATTAATGTCTATACCTTTTTGTTTTAATAGAAGCTCTATTACCCCTATATGACCATTCCCAGCAGCAAGATGTAAAGGTGTTATTTTATATCTATTTGCTGTGTTAACCTTTGCACCATTTCTTAATAGAACCTCTACTACCTCTATATGACCATATTCAGCAGCATTATGTAAAGCAGTTTTTCCATCTTTATTTACAGCATAAACCCTTGTTCCCTTTTCTAACAGAACCTCTACTACCCTCGTATGACCACGTAAAGCAGCCCAATGCAAAGGATTATTTTCAATGATGTCTCCTATGTTATCAACCTTTGCACCATGTTCTAACAGAACATTTACTACATCGATATGACCACGCAAAGCAGCCCAATGTAAAGGAGTTGCTCTATATTTATTATCTGCAATATTAACCTTTGCATTTTTGTTTAACAGCT